CAGATAAAGTCGTCCATTTTTGTAAATTTTAAAATCATAGACACACTGACACTTCAAGTTCATTGTAGCACCATTCACAATCACCAAAATATAGAACCAGCCAAGAAGTCCATCTACAGATGAATAAATAACGAATACGCGATACATATACAAACAGGAGTTTTATTCACCCATAAAGAAGAATGAAAACATGGCATTGGGAGGGAGACGGTGGGAACTGGAGAGACTTGTGCTAAGTGAAATAAACCAGACCCGGAAAGAGAAATAATGTCTGTTTCCTCTCAAATGCAGATAATGCAGAATCTAAATATATACATGCAAATTATAAAGCATATATATCCATGTATATACACAGAGAAAGAGAGAAGGATAAGGAAGAGGAGGAGGAAGAAGAGGAAGAGGAGAAAGAGGAATAAGACTGGGAAAGAACAGCTCCAAAGGGAAATGGGGTAGGGAGGGTGCGAGGTGGGAAGAAAGACATATATTCCATGTTTTCTCTTCTATGTGAATAACTATGAAATGTCTCCATGTTACACTAACTTAAAAGTAACTTTAGCACCCTCCTCAGCAAGGGAAGAAGGGACATCCTGGAGGCTTCTCGGAGGAGGTGACAGGCTAGCTTAGCTTGTTAGACACGGAAGAGGGGAAAAACATTCTAGCTAGCTTGTACAACAAAGGCAAGCCTGCCTGTCTGAACAAGTGAGTGGAGTTTGAAAACTGTGATAATTTGGTTCATCTTAAGCTGTCAGCAACCCCTGGGAAAGCTCAGGCAGTAAGGCTGGCAGGCTCCTGCAGAGGTGGGTTATCACAGTCACTGAGGAGGAAGCCAATTCAGAGAATGAAGGTATGGCTAAGAGATTCAAGCCTGGGAGATGGAATCATGGCGCTGTGTGCCTCTAGCTCAGTCTCCTCCTAATGCCTGTCCAAGGCCTGAAAGGAACAGATGGCAAGAGCAGGCTGGTGGGACCTCAAAAACTCAGGACAAAAACAGTTCTGCAAGCCACTGAGGGGATACCAACCATCAGCCATGCATTGCTGAGCGATCATCAGTAACATGGACACAGGTTTGGGCAAAAAGGCTATGCAGTCTCAGAAAAGCATCCATGCCTTAGGTGTATATTCCATAGGCATCAAAAACAATAGAACTCATCACTGGAAGGAAGCAAAGCTGGAAGCAGGGGATAAGCAGATGCCACAGCAGCCGCCAGGACGACAGTGCATGGATTCGCTCACATCACCCACAGAGGACTCATAGGACTGATGTAAGAGGATCTTTGTAAAGCCCCTGGCACTATATATGTCCTTCTCAAATTGCAGCCCATGCATCTTACCACAAAGACTTCCAGGATACACAAATCCTGGGTCTGCCCTTCATGTTGTTCCCTAGTGATGTGTTGGACTAAGACATATCATCGGATTGAAACAGCAATTGCTTGACAGCTCTTGTGAACCTGATTTCTTAAAATCTGGCTGCACGGGCCTGAGAAGCAGTGATTGCTTCCTTCAAACTGGTGGTGGAGGGCACCCAGACTGTTAAATCAGAGCTGTAGTAACTGGCTGGGGATTTATTAATTCCATTCTGGAGAAGTCTGGGGAGAAGCTGGCAACGAATGCCATTATCATGTGTATATTTAGTAAGTAGAGCAGAAGCAGCCAGGTGAAGCTCATGAAGAATGCTCACTTGTGGGACCCAGGATAGAATCTTGCTTAGTGTAAAGCCAAGCAACCCTCAGCCCTATGTAAATAGGCCTGGGGAATCAAATGAGGACAATTCACCTGGTTTTTACTGTCTGCAGTTGTAGGGATCAAATTCATGGCCTTGCTATGTTAGGCAAGGTCCAATTAGTTTCTGAGCTGGAAAAAGATCAATTTGACAAACTCTGTTGCATAAGTGGGCAGCAAGAGTGTAGAACAGTAACGTCCTCTTTGGAAGAAGGCAGGGCCTAAGGAAAACATGCCATCTCTGACAGAAGGGCTGCTATTGGTGGAAGGGCAGCCTTAGTTCTTAAGAGCTGGAAAGAAGGAAGCACCAGCCCTTAGCATAGGCAGCAGCAGACTTACCGAGCTGCAGAAGATCTCACAACTCACTCATCCTTCAAAGTAGTGGGGTAAAAGGAATGCCCCAAGTCACTCAGAAGGCAGTAGCTAGTAAACCTGAAGGCACTTCATGAAGGCCTGAGAGAGGGCTCACATTAGGTTTAAAATTAGAAGCCCACCCTTCAGGTGGTTCCAGGAAACCCCTGTGTTCCCACCTCCCTGGCAACTGCTCATCCTGAGAACTCTGGCATACTAAAGCCTTAGGAGACTCTTATCTGTAATGTCACTGAGCTGCAAGTCATCTGTAATGCCACCTCCTATCCTATGGCATTACCCTACGTCCCTATGTAGCCAACTGACCCAGAGAGGTACAGTGCTCCAGGGAGAGGCCAGCAGTTTCCAAGAAAAGGCTCTTGGAGACAGGGAATGCTTGTAGTTCATGGCCACTCTCTTATCTGACTCTTCGGTTCTCTTGCCACCCTGCCCTTTGAGATAGTTTTACTCCCTCAAGAGAGACAGATAAATGTTTTCTCAAAACAGAAGTGCACCAGTCTCTTGGAAGCAACAGGACGAAGTGTTTGGTTTAGATGGCTTTTATAGCCTAGACATAGACTTTATCTAAAAGAACAAACTTGCAACAAACATTTTAAAATGTAATGTATAGCACAAGTAAACATCTCATTGCAAAGCATTTAGTTTCCATTTGTTGGCCTGTGTTTGCTTGGTCTTTGTCCTGTCTATTACTGCTTTGGTGTGTATACAAAACCAGTAGACTTGAAGATGTAAAAGATGATGGTTTTAAAACACCAAGAGGAGAAGAAAGTGTGCCAATTAAAAGAGTGGGGTGGCACCTAAGCAAGTTTCAACTCTATGCTAAGTTGTAGTAGCATACTGATCTTTTTCAGAAAATGTAATGTGTTCAACACAAAAAAAATAATTTGAACTCTTTTAAAACTATAACTCATTTTATAGTTACTATGGTTCTTTATATTAAGAATAATCAATATTCTCAATTTGGCTGACCAAGCTTTTACTTTGGCAGACACACTTTGTAATAATAGGGGGTAGGGACTGAAGGTAGCCAAGAGGTATGACACCCTTCTGGCCTTTCCATGGAGGGGATCTCTTGCTTGAACCATCTCTGGGCCTCCTATACTCTTTCTGCAGTTGATAATTCCACATAGAGACCTATTCCTCCTGAGAACAGAGGTGTCACTTCAAGGCTCAGACACTCCCCCAGCTGCTGCAGAGTTGGGGTGCCTAACATCTCTAAGGAGGCTGTTCTGGCATCATTCTTGGCTGGAGTTTTCCCATTGCATTTCCATGTCACTGGGCGCAATGTCTATCTGCCAGATATTCTGCCTGCTCTCAGCTGAAGGCCTTCCTCCCTGGCTGGGCAGCTGAGCTCACTGCACAGTTGCCAAAATTCTAATTCAAGATGTAGAATTCTAACTCCTGCTCTTTAGACCCTTGTCTGGCCCCAGTTTCCAGCCAAGCGGGTCCCTGGCTCATTATCAAGCCCTTGGGTGCCCTTCCCCCATCCTCACTTGATCCCAGGAAATTATTCCTGGCACCAAACTGAACTTTAATGACCTGCTGCCCCACCCCCCTATCAACTTAGCTCTCCCCTTGGCAAATTTCTCACCTTGGAGGCTCGAAGAAGCGACAGACCAGACAAAAATGTCAATGGTTGAGAGAATTCTGCCCTCAGTCTTTGTGACTAGGAGATTGTGAAATTTTTCTCTGGTGACAGAAATACTTCATATGTCTATATTTAAATTTACACGAAGTGCCCTAACAATCCTATTATTAGAAATAACACAAGAATATATATATATATATATATTTAAAGACAGAATTGCTATTTTTCTAGGTATATGCATCCGAAAGTAAACAGAATTGTCCTAAAGAAAAATGCTAAATTCAGAATGCATGAATAAATTAAAAAAAAAAGGTGCTCCTTGAACACCTGGAAGAAAATATACACCTTGTAGGTAAAATGTAACTGCAGCTGGGGTTGGACCAGAAGATAATTGATTCTTAGGAGGCTAACCAGTCAACATTATGGCTTAAACGCTCACAGGATGGTATAATCCTAACTGATTTGGTGAAATCTTTTTTAGGTGAAAATCGAGTATGCTTTGACTTCGTTTCCAAACCATTATGCCTGTCCTTCTGTAGAGCAGCACTGCCAGACCTGAGCCACAGCAAGGGGTGCAGGAGGTGCAGTAATTCAGGGTAAAGAATTTGAGATTTTTGTTTTCTCAGAAGAATCCGGGAGAACAAACGTGATACATATGTAAAGCACAGTCAAAAGCACTTGACAACCAAGCACTCTATTTTGAAATTTAAATAAAGCTAAGATTTTTCTTCTGCCCTTGGGGGGAAAGCTTCATTAAAATCAATTAGTTACTACTAACCTCCAGAGAATACGGACTTTTTATTTTTTTTTTAAATGAGAAAGTTTAAAGAACAAGGTGCACACAATTACCTTTCCTGGGTCCCTAGTGAATACCATTGTCACACCTAGACAGGTGGCCAAGTGCAAACAAATGTCCCCGGAGAGGGCCGGGTAACTCCCCGAGTGCTCATCTGGGGGAAACCATGTGTAATTAATAGATGTGTATCTATTAAGAATGTAGTGCTCATAACCCAGGGAGGCTCCAAGCGGACTGCAAGGCACCTCACGCCGCGAAGGGCAGGCCCAGGGACGGAAAGTTGGAGGCTGGCGCTGCCAGGTGAGGCCTGGGTCGCGGAGGTTGGGGCCCGCAGAGCGGCAGGCGCGCGCTTGCTCCCTCCTCCCAGCCGCCGAGTGCTCCCCGCCCCCTCCCCGAGCTCCCGCCGCCTCCCGCTGCCTCCCGGAGGCTCGGCGCTGCGCTCCACCTCGCGCCCCCTCTCCTCCGTCCCGGGCTCGCGCTGCCCTCCCCGCGCCTGCCCCCTCCCCGGCCCCTCCCTCCGCCTCCGCGCGCGGCGCTCGCAGAGCCGACTCCGGGGGGCTCTCGATGTAGCACCATGACAGGCATCGCCGCCGCCTCCTTCTTCTCCAACACCTGCCGCTTCGGGGGCTGCGGACTCCACTTCCCCACGCTGGCCGACCTCATCGAGCACATCGAGGACAACCACATCGGTGAGGCCCGGGTGGGCGGAGGGGTCGGGCGGCGGGCGAGCCCCGGGGTGTCGCGGGCCGGGCGCCCGATA